TTATCACCAAATCAGTTTTCTAGTAAAACCCCAGGCACATGAAAAAAGACTAAACAGAGCCACGTCTGGAGACAGATTGGATGATTTAAGGGACAATTACAAACTGTGATTTGAGCTTGATGACAGAATAACAGTAAATAGGACATCTTATCAGGAGCTGACAGATCTCAGGCTCAGATCCAAACTATTTATACATTGCATTGTTACTGTTTGCAAGTGCACTGTATTGTGTTAAATCTAAATAAAAAAATTGACAAGCCTTGTATAAAGCCATATTTTACTTTATTAATTGTATTAAAATACAATTTCTCAATCCACACACTACAGTCAATATATTGAATTTAACACATAAAAAAACACATTTCCTTATATACTTACCACACATCCATAGATCTGACCTATAACTTTGCTTGGAGCTTGTCTCAGTTTTTTTCCATATGTTTTATGCCATACTTTCAAACAAGAGGCATTGGAAGACTGTGCTTTTTTTTTTTTTTTCAGCTTCTAATTTCTTATCTTTGACATGTGCATACAACACAAACACCACTATAATGTTTTGAAAAAACTTTTAAATAACAATTTGATTCATTGTTTACAGCAAGTTCTTAATTCACAAAGGAACAAACTCTGTGAACTTGAACATGCAGAGTGGAAGATTACCTCACCCAATCAACTCTGACCTGGTCCGGCGCACTGCGGTACGTGCCTCATGGACATCACTTGGCTGGGTGTGCGATCTTAGCTGTCAACACCAAAAGCACAATAGGCGGGCTAAACAGAGGCCACACTCGGGCAGTTATAAATGGGTGTCTTATCACACTGACCAATCAAATTTTGCCTGTTAATGTTGACTGCAATGTCATATTGGGACATGGCAAATTAGGCAAAAGCGAAACAAAAATCCAGTCTTCAGCAAAATGTACTTTCCCCAAATACATACATACATAGGATACATGAAGATTGTGCACATCTCCGGTCTCCATAAGTCCGTTCCTAGGTTTCTTCGCACAAAAGAAAAGTTGTCAATTATTTGTCTTATGGTAAGATTTAAAGCTTATTTATACATACAACTGAGATGAGCAGAGTTTTATGTATCATATTTAAATATTGTAATTGTTGATAAATGTGCTGATGTGTTTCATTGTACATTGTTTTATAACGCAATTGTTGCTTAAATAAATAAATAAATAAGTAAGTAAGTAAGTAAATAAGTAATAAACATAATTTGTATACCCCAGTCCCATTGGATAACAGATAGACATAAGTCTTCAGCTATATTCCAGTTTCTTTACATTCATATTGTATCATGTCTGTCCATTCACATGCACTGTCCCAAGCAAATAAATAAATAAGTGCAATTGTTAGTGCAGTCTAGCTACTTACAGGGCCCATATTACACTATTTTCTGATCTATGTTGTAATGTTGTTCCCTCATTGAAAACATACCTGGAGTTGTGTTTTGTTTCATTCACACATGTTTAACACACAAACTATGCATATTTGGTTCTTCTCTTTAACAGAAAACACTCCATCCCACCTTGTGGTAATTTCAGCTCTGGAATTGCCAATCTCTACTGAACAAAATGTAAAAGGTAGCTGCTAAGTCAAAAATTACCACCACATGACATCACAATGTGGAATAGAGCATTTTGAGCTATGGAGATGGGCACAATAATGTAGGATTACTCAAACATGTTTGAATAAAACAGAACACAACAACGAGTTAACATCATTCTAACATGGCTTTAAAGTCACAAGAGTAAATTGTGGATAATAAAGGACCTTTAAAAACATCTTAAATTGGTTTAAAACAAGCATTTTGTGTTGAAATTAAATGTAGAGTGGTTCAAGTTTGAAAAATCCAAACAAGAGAGTGCAACTGTTATGATTGGAATAGTGTAGTGCCTTTGTCTAAAAAGCTCAGAGGATCCCCCATTCTGCAGCTTCTCTGAATCTTATGAATGAACAAGTGTTTCATGTGGAAATTGTTATTCTAACCACATACATAAGTGTTTCAGGGCTGTTATGGAAAAGTAATTACCGAGGAGGGGGACATCTGTCAGAGCACTGGGGGTTTCCCATAATGCCAACTTTCTTTTAGGGAGCCGGTTAAAAACAACATGGAAACAAACACCTT